TAATGCTGTAACTTAAATTTTACTGTACTGAGTTGTATATACTCCACTCTTATTATTTATAGATGAAGTAGAGAAGGAGTCGGGATCGGAGTTGCTGATTTTCGAGCCCAGTGGATAGAGGAACAAAGCAATAATTCTTTCGTTTTTGGCATAATTGATTGTGTAATAACTAGTAGTAGGGTAGATAGAGTGTCTGCTGGGAGTCTGTGAGATTCTTTTTCACTGTGATATTACATATAGGGTTGCAGGTTTACTGTGATTCTGAATAATAGATTGCGGTAAGGTTTCTATGTTTGTAGTGGATTTGGAATGACGCGTTCATATGTGGCCGTGGAATTGTCGTAGTTTACGCCATAAAAAAAAAAAAAAACGGGGCGTTACAACTTCTAAGAGGTTTCACAGATGGGGGACGTGAAACAACATCCCAAGTTTGGATTTCTTCTAGTGCAAAAAATTCTGCTTCAATAACTTGGTGCCAACACTCATGCTCCATTGCCTGTTTATATGAGGAAGGAATAGGAATAGATGACAAGGTGGCTATTAAGGAAAAATAAGGGGTAAAACTATACCTATCTGGTGGTCTATGAACACGAGTACTGCGTCTAAGAGGAGCAGGTGCGGCTGTTGGAATAGAATCAACTGTCAAGGAATCCATTGGAGGGGGCCCGTTAGGTGTAGAAGTTTGATATGACGTTTTGGGCATGCGTTGCTAATACACCAAGAGAGGTTTAAAAGGTACAAAATCTGCAAAAGAGTTAGTAAATCATGGCAAAACAGAAAATGAAGGAGAAAATATGATCATGGTGAGTAGTAAAAAAATATTAATTTTTAAAAAATGTCACATTTTTAGATATTCGAATACGACACAGATTATAATCATAACAAAAAAAACGTTTCTGGTATACTGAATATCCTAAAAATGCATATTGAACTAATTGACCTATAAGTTTTGTGTGTTCATGTATAGGAAGATGTACAAAACACACATAACCAAAAGTACGAAGATTAGAATAATTTGGAGTGCAACTAAATAACCAAGTAAAAGGAGAGACATGGTTCAATGAGGGATGGGGCAATCTGTTGATGAGGTGCACAGCAGTGAAGAGAGTTTCACACCAAAACCGAGAGGTTACAAAAGACTAATAGAAAGGTGTGAACAACATCAAAAAGATGACAATTCTTTCTCTCCGCCTCCCCATTTTGTTGTGGGGTTGAAGGACAAGATCGTTGAGAAATTATTCCATTAGTTTGTAGAAACTCCTGAAAAGAATGAGGCATGTACTCACTCCTATGGTCAGAGTGTAGGATTTTGATTTTAGCATAAAATTGGGTTTAAATATGTGCATGAAAAAGCTTGAAGACAGAAAATACTTCGTTACTAAAATGAAGAAAATAGATTCATATGAAACGACTATAATCATCAATAAAAGTGACAGAGTACTTATAATTAGCATGAGAAGTAACTGGTGTCATACCCCACACATCAATATGTACCAAATCAAAAGGCCGAACTGCATTTGGTGTGTGAATGGGAAATAGTAAAGTTTTAATTTTGCCAAGCTTACAAGAATTGCAATCAAATTGAATAACATTAAGAGATTGTGAGTTTTTATTCCCAAGCAAATTAGAATTTAGTAAAACATGGAGTACATTAGAGTTTGGATGTCTCGGACGTTTATAACATGCTCAATAATCAACATGAGTAGAATTACAAGTGATAATGGGTGGAGAGAAACATGAAGATAAAGAAAATGGGAGAGGAAAAAGATGTCCTACTTTAGGCTCCCTTGCAATCGTCTTCCCTAATTGTTGATCCTGCACAATATAACCGGATTTAGAAAATTCCACTTTATAGTTATGATCAACCAACTAATCGATAGAAATAAGATTACTGGTAAGATTAAGAGAGACAAAAACATTTGTTAGAGAAGAAGAAGAAATGTCACAAGTAGCTGTGATAGGTAAAGGGTTTCCATCAGCTATATAAATCTTGATATTTTCAGAGTATTTCTTTATATTGGTAAAAAAATTAGGATTATTAGTTATATTATTAGAGGCCGCAGAATCAAAGTACTAAGGAGATGATGTTGAGAAAGATTTACCTTAGAGTCCTAAAGCAGAGAATGCAGAGATGATCATTTGTTGAATTATTTCAGGAGTTACTGATGAAGTAGGAACAGCAAGAGCACTCTGTGCTATGTTCATAAAATTACTAGTACTAGAAAAACTAACAGACATTATATATGTTGTTTCAAATTTTTTAGAAGGTTAAATAAGACATTTCGTAATGATATGGTCATCCTTTTTACAATAGTTACATAATTTTTTTGAACAATTTGAAATATAATGCCCAAACTCCTTACAACAAAAACACTGAATTGTGCTCAATTCTTTACTTTTTGACTTACCTTGTGTTTCATAAGCTACAGGAATAGAAGTAGATCTTTGTTGTTCCATGGTGGTTTGAGTGAGAATTCGTTGTTTCTCACGAAACAAAGTATTGAGGCATATATACAATGAGGGGACAGGTTCTCGGTTAATAAGATTAGATATGGTACCTTTCAAATTCGGATATAAGTTTCATAAAAAAATAATCCTTTTTAGTAGTTTCATGAATAGATTGAACAGAGATAACACCTTCAGGAGGTGAGATAGTATATACTATATCAATATGTTCAGCTCAAAAATTTATAAAAATATAATAAAAATCAAATATAGAGAGACTGCTTTGTTGAAGAGTAGCTAATTCATGTTCAAGCTGAAATCTTCGAGCAATGTTGTCTTGGCTGTAGAGTTTCTTTAGATAAGTCCACATCTCAGCTGCAGTCTTGAAGGGTTGGAGGTTCAAGATGATATTCGAGTCAACAGATCCTAAAATCCATATCATAATTTGAGCATCCTTGACCTCCTACTTGGCATGCTCATCCTTTTCTTTATCTTTGTCTCGGGCAGGTTTACTGCCATCAATATAACCCCATAAATCTTTTCTTTTAAAAATTCTGAAGTGAAATGCTCAGACTGAATAGTTTTTGCCAATAAAACGAATCAAGATGAACTCATACTTGTCTATGGGCATGATGCTGAGAGAACTTATCAAGAACAAACAAGAATAAGAAATTATACTAAGAATAAGAATAAGATTAAAACTCGAAATAAGAAAAAAAAAACTTAAAAATTTAGAATTTATGCTCTTTACCATGACAATTAAGAGATTTTAAGTAGAAAAATTTTTGTGTGCCCTTTGTGGAGGAGAATTATCATTATATATACATACAAGCTAATTTTCAGCCTTTAAATTAACTAAATAAATCTATTCTAATTAAAATTATTAAAAATATATAAGTCATAAAATTAGACATAAAATCTGTTTTCTAATTAATTGCATAATTTACTACTATAGTTGTCTGAAATCTGCTGATTAATTGCATAGAATCTGTAAGTATATATGTTGGTTAATTGCATATAATCTGCTGCCATAATTGTAACAAATCTGCTGATTAACTGCATAATATCTACTGATTAATTGCATAAATTTGGTGGCTAATTAATTGCCAATTAATCTCTTTGACAGTCTACACATGTAAATTTTTACTAGTTCATAGGCATTTGGTTTTTCTTATTAATTTGTTATCATTAAAAGCTTATAAATATAGGTGTGGTGGATGTTCTGTTATGTTTTATTTCATTATGTCAGTATCTACACTACTAATTCTCTTGGTCCTTGTGGATTCAAGGTGAATCCATTTAATTTAAGTTGAACCAAATCAGTCATTTAGTTAAGGCTGTCACATGATAAGTTTATTGGTATAGCTGTCTTTGCGAAATATAATCTTAAGGTGTAAATTTATGCATCATAAAACATGACTCGTTGTCATGTTCAGGATTATTGTCAAATGATTGGATCTCATCTGAATGCACTACTCCAGAACTACTTCTATGCATTTATTCCATTCCTTCTTTTTTCTTGAGGAATAATGCATTTATCTACTCCTGTTTCAAGTTTCGAGCAGGTTTTTCTTTTAATCTTTCTGTCATGTATGGACCAGCCAAAATTAACAATCGAGATCAAGGATCTGTTATGGTCCTAAACATATTTATATTAGAGTTGATAAGTTCTTAATTCTGAGCATGTCAAGTAACGTGATAACCATAGCATATTTTTGTTCAGCAGAACTGTCTTTAGTTTTAACTTCATTTGGAAAGAAAATCTATATTTTCCTTTTCATCCTCAAAGTGTCCAATTTTGTTTGGCCATGAACAGAATGTGATTCTTACTGCATCGGTTTCCTCAGGTTGTGTGATGAAGCCACAAGTGCACTGGACAGCACAACTGAAGCAGAGATTTTAAGTGCATTGAAGTCACTGGCAAATAACAGGACTTCAATCTTCGTTGCTCACAGGCTAACAACTGCAATGCAGTGTGATGAGGTAAACATTCATGCTAGCAATTAGTATGCAACCTTGTCGCTAAGTTCAGAGTATCTTCAGGAGTCTTGAATGCTTTTCACCTCATCCCCACCCAAACCTACCTTAGGAAAAAAAGTAAGAAAAAGAATAACTGTAATAAAAAGAATAAACTTATGTTAGGCATAAAAGATCTCCGATAGACTCTTTTCTGGATTCAATGTTTCCACCTCACACTGCTTCGAAATCATGTTCTTCATTTCACAACCAGAAACTATTTTCAAATGAATCGTCTCAGTGATGTCATGAGATTTTCCTTCACTAATTCCTGGTACTCATTCTTTGTATATTTGGAGTGTTGTTTCAGATAATTGTTCTGGAGAATGGGAAGGTGGTTGAACAGGGACCACATGAGGCTCTCTTGATGAAGGCAGGCAGATATGCACAACTGTGGACGCAACAGAATACCACTGTAGATGCTACTGATTCAGCGATCAAATTGGAAGCATGAAACGATTTTTTTAGTAACATTGCATTAAGAATCATGTTTTGCATTCGCCCATCCAGTTTCAGATGCGAGATTCACATTTCATTGTTAGGCTAGAATTTTCCCACCTAATTCATTGTAAATTTATAATAATACAAGTAGTTGAAAGCCATAAGCCATTTTTGAGGATTGACTAGAGCTCAGGCTCTAACCTTATTGTTTTATCGAGAGCTGTGAAGAGAATAATATAAGTGCAGGGTTTCTCAATCTCTCTCTCTAGTTCTTTATAAAGGTAAATATATATATAGTACATATATAAAATGAATATTATTTATAATAATTCAACCAAAGTATCATTCAAGAACTTGAAATGGTTTATGTCATGAAGCCGGCTTTTTCATTATCACTGTTATTGTTCATATAAGAACGTGAACTTTTCTGAGCTATGCATGTTGGTACCCGACCAACAATCTTCGAGTTATAGGTCTGAGGCATATAAATATATATATATACACACATAATATATGTATATATATAATTGTGTGTGCTATTTACGAGAGAAGAAATCTGAAACAAGTGTTCTCCAATAAACAACAAAGCCTATGAACTCTCTTGGGTAATTATGCAACATTCAGCCATTGATATTGGTGTTGAAACAAATAAAAGGGACTATGATTTATACTTACTATTTTTCCAAAATAATTTTTCTGGACGTACTTTTGTCAAAACGCTTCTAAACGATTATCTTTTTTTACGTTTCACTCAAAACTGAAGTTAAAAATAAAAATATAACAACCTTCTAAAGCTTCTAAGAACTAAAGATGGAGACAATGGCAAAGAAGAACTATTTAAACCCCATCAATTGCTGGCAGATTGAACCCGGTCCTGCTCGGACTAAAACCATCCACTGGGCTGGCTCATCCTATTCCAATTTATTTGGGTTCAAACCCAATATCCGAGCCACGTTCATTCATGGGCTCTAACGTACTCATCTCCAGAGATGGTTGATTAACCTATTGGACCCGAGTCTCCTCATTAAGCTGATTACATTATTCTGAGTCGCGAGGCCGCCTCCCTCTGGCACTGGCCATGGCTGCAGGCTCTATCTCTCAACGTTCTTACAGCTTATCAGTAATTAACCCTGCCCTTAATATATGCATGACGACAATCCATGCATGAAGAATCACACAGAATAAAGAGAAAAAGAAACCCCTTGAAGTACAATCAATATAACAGAGAGAAATTAGATGAATAAAGAAAGCTCCACAAGTTATCAACTGCCAACATATACGTCGCGACTCTTAAGTGGATTATAATTTATTGTCATTATATAACTTTTTATATTGAAAAAGAGAGAGAAAGATAACTAGCATCCATGTTTGAGGATGAGGAAGATGTGATATAATTTAATTTGTGGGGGGAAGGGCATTAAAAGATTCGCTTGTCTGAGAAAGCAAGAAAACAAGGCAGACAAGAAGAACACTTTCCCAATGAACCCCACTTCATCACCCACACCTCCTTTCATCTTCATGTTTAATTAATTATTTCTATATATCAGGACTCCTGCCCATCAGTACTCCATACAGATTCTCAAGCTTCCAACGGTGATGGATTCGCTGAATTGCAGATATATTATATATATAATTATATTTATGTGTGTGTATGTACATGTGTGCTTGAGAATGAATATTAATACTCAAGTTGAAACATGAAATCATGTTTACAGCTTTGGCGGAGACCCAAGTTTAGAGGACCATATAATATATTTCTTTACACAATATATTATATACATACATATGCCGTGGTTGTGGAATATCAGCTAAAATGTGTTTCCTTGTCGTGTCTGATGATGAGCATCTTCCAATTATCTTGTTTGTTCATAGCACCCATATATGTCTTTAGAGCAAAGCTCTTTAATGATATATTATATAGTCCCCTTGAAATGATAATGTTATATTTTTTAACATATATGTGACACCTCATACCCATACCATATGGCACATCTTTTTTTAAAATATATATATATATATATATATTATAAGCTGCTCATAACGTTGCTTAATCAGTCAACATATAAGTTATACCCAAAACCGTGATGAATTCTCCCTAAATAACACATAATTAGTACTCCTATCTCTCTACTAATTAGCTGATTATTACTTTCATCAATCTATCTTACTGTGAAAAATACAAAAAAACAAATGTAACAACGTATAGATTATGAAAGAACACTTGACAGTCTTTCTTCTCTTATATAGAGAAGAAATGCACGATCATGATGCTCATGTTCAAAGATGAATATAATTAATGACAAGAAAGAAGACTGAAGATTCTTATGACAACACTTACACATCAAATCTAACAAATATAGTCATGAAAACCTAAATATCGATTACCCAAACAGTAGCTTTGAGTGGCATATATATATATATATATATATAGAGAGAGAGAGAGAGAGAGAGAGACTAAAGACATATTTGGATGCTGTACGTCAGATGATCTTAAACAATAATGAAAAGGGGAAAAAAAAAAAAAACCATTTCTTAATTCTTGTTCTTTTTACCTTCAAAATGGAAACTCGCTCAGGACAATCTTAATATCACAACCTTAATTTAGAAAAATCTTCAAGTAAAAGGGTATTTAAAATCTTACCATCACAACCTTTATACACATTCAATCAGTGCCACTACTCCTGAATCAAATCCTTCCATGCGTTTAATAATTTGAAACTACTTCAGCATACGAAGAAAGAAGAAATTAGATTCATAAAACACATGCACCCATGATAAATTTATTCTACAGCCAACTTCTTCACATTTCCTTTCAAGAAACAGAATAAGAAACCAGCTTTTTACAGAAATGCCTTCCAGGGATGATATATACACACACACACACACACAGGCAAGGGGTTTCTTTTAGGGAAAGGACTAAGAAAAGAAAAAAGAACGGACGTGTGTTAGCAAAGCTGAAGATGTGTGTGTGTGTATATATATATATATATATATATAATGTAATATGCTAGCTGGTTTGACATTGGAAAAGATGTTAAAGCAACGCAACATTAATACAATACAAGCAACCCTCATATATTATATTGTTTGTGTGCGTACATATATATGCAACGATTAATATAAATAAACACATTAAAAGCAAGACTTTTGAAAGCAGCAGCTCAAACCCTCTTCCCTTCTCTACGGAAAAAGGAAAAAAAAAAAAAAAAGATAAGCAAAAACACATGTGGTGGTGTGCTTAGAATAATGAGAAGTAATTAAAAATGGAGTTCGATTGTACTTGCATCCTTGAACCTTTCAAGGAACTCCATTCTTTAATCACTTCATCAAATCTCTTCTTTATGCACACTCTAACATGCATTTTTAATTACTTAAATAATTATTCAACAAAAACAAGTAGTACATCATGGCATATTCAAAGTGGCAGCCATTACCGTACACATATACACACAATTTTTTTTATATACATTGACGTGTACCTGTCTTAACCTAAATCCCTAGCTATTATTATTATTATTATTATTATTATTATTGTGTATATATATATATACATGGTTGATTATATTTATACATCACCTCATAGTCTGCAAACCCACCACTACATAATCTATTTTACCCAATGTTATTTTTTTATCTGGATCTTTTTAACATGATCTATATATATATTACTGCTATGTTAATATATAATATTTTATAAAATAAAAACGAACGTCGTGCTTTTCGAGAAGTGCTCATATATATATATATATATATATACACATACACCACTGTTTGTTTTTTATTATTATAATTTATACACCAGATGTTTATTAGAAGGAAATAAAAATAAAAACTGATGAGAAAAATGGGCTAAATTAAGTATATACAAAAGAGACAATAGGGTTCACGTAGGCCAAGAAACTAAAAGGTTAAAGGAGTAGCTTCAAGTTCCAAGCAAAGCAACAAGCATAAATAGTAGACTAGACAATACACAACAATACAGACATATAGGATGATAGATAGAGAGATATATACACATATATATATATAATTTATTATATAATTTATGTTGTGAAACTAGACTTCTGCAATATATTTAAATGCATGTGATACCTGAACAAACGAATAAAGACAATCAACTTACTTATCATGTGCCCAGTTACCACCTTTTTTCCTTTTTCTTCTTCTTCTTCTTCTTTTCCCCTACCTTACTCCTCTCCTCCGCCCGCTCTTGACCTGAACCAGATTTCCATGGCAGCTTCTGATCTGCATTTGAAGGATTTAGTTTTAGTGTGAACCTCTTCTTTTTCTCTTTTTCATTTTTTTTGGTTTTCCTTCCAAATAAAAAACAAAGAGAAAATAAATTATTTAAGATGTCACCTTTTGGTACAGCTACAGCCGGTTTGCAGTACTCCTTTCAGGATTTCTCAGCTACAGAAGACCCAGCCCAGACCCATTAATGAATGAAGGAGAAAGCTTCTTCTTCCTAATTTCCACTGTGGTCTTCTATACTCGTAGGCATACATGGGGTTTACTACCTACCTCTATATCTGGTACTACTATACATATGATTATTATTATTGGAATGGAATATATGAATATTATTGGGATAGAATAAAGCCATTGCGGTCCCCTCTATATAATTTACATTCACATCATCAATTATTACATTTGGACAACCCTCTCCCCATACATTCTATGTGCTACATAATGTGTATTTCTGTGTTATAATTACAGAATATATTTCATTTAACTAGCAAAATATATAAATTTTCTTTAGAAGAAAATTATACAAGGAAACTATTTTTAAGTCTCAAATTAATCTAAATTAACTATTTTATGTTTTGGGCTACTACTTGAAACAACCACAAGAAATTTGGTATTCACAATACATAATTTCCATAGATATTAACAATACATAATTGATGAAAGAATGGTTCGTGAAAGAAAACATATACTTTCAGCTCATCTAACAAACACCCATTACATGGATCAAACTACAGTAACCTATTTAATTAATTATAACCAAATTGTATTTAAAATTTGTAGCTAGGTTAATCTTGACATAATTAATAAATAGTCAACCCTAATGTGTTTGGATTTATACAAATTAATCATGATTGCATATACACGATTACCTCCATATATAAGATCATGCACTAGAATTTTACACCCTCTGTCTGATCCCAACCAAAACCCAGCTAGCTAGTAGAGTATTGCTGAGAAAGTAAAGATAAAACTATTGCTAACTAATGTTCAATGAAGTGTAGATAGTTA